TCGGGGCGATAATGCTGGGACATGGAATTGTCTGTCCGGTTGACCTGGCATTTGATTCTTGGCGATAAAATCCCATCGCAGTCCCATGTGCACTGTGTTTTCATTTTCATCGAAACACGTTCTCTCGTAATCTAGAGCATGAATTTCCGACATCCTGTCTGCTTTTGCTAGGGCTAGCAGGAACAGCGTTTTCTATGTCAAGAATTCGAAGGATGTCGTCTCTAGTGGTTTGTAGGTCCCATGCCGGAGCTTGAAATCTCTTGTTTTTGGTCCTCCAATTTATAAGAGCGTAACAAGGCCAGTAACTCTGGTACTTTCGTTAGCTTGGCACCCGTCCTCATAGTGATAACTGAGCTCAATGCCGCTAGGTATGTTGAGAGTGTAGACCCTTTTAGTGGCTCTGTTTGCCGTAGGTGACAAAGATAGTCCGCCACTCGAGGATGTGTTGCTTTTCTAGCTGAAAATCCATTTTTAGCAGCGTAGGTCTCAAAGCTGCGCCACTTGTTGTCGTACAAGTTGCGCGTAGAATTGCACTAAGCAAGCGTGACTGCTTTCGCCACTCTGACAGAGTACCCTCTCTTGTTTAAACACGCCTTGATACAGTCCACACGTGTAGTTGAAATGCCCTTGGGCTGCCGTGCGTCTGCTTTGTGTGAGGATGTACTAGTAGATTCGACCGCTCTGGTAGTTGCAGTATTGGTGGTCCGAGTTCTTGTATGAGAATGGGGAACCACATTCTCGCTGGCCAGTAGGGCGCGACCAAAATCAGTTGGAGGTTCCTTGTCTGGCTGATTTTCTGTAACACCCTCGGTAGTAGCGCTGGCGGTGGAAACGCATACGCGTTTAGGCCTTCCTAGGTTATGCTGAGAGCGTCCGTTGCCCACGATCGCCGATCTGGGACTGGAGAGACAAATGTTGTTAGCTGATTGTTGAAGCGTGTGGCGAATAGGTCTATCAACGGAGCTCCTATTTCCTGGATGATCTGTGCGAAGATCTCTGGATGGAGCATCCATTCCGTCGGTGATGGTTGAGTTGGACGGGAGAGTGCGTCTGCTAAGACATTCTTGGCTCCTGGAATGTGACATGCTCTTACGTGGATGTTCAGATCGTCGATTAGGTCGAACAATTGAAAGCATAGATCCAGTAGGTTGAATGATGTGGTTGAGCCTTGCTTGTTTATATAAAACGCCACTGTAGTTTGTCTGTGTGTACCATGAGATGCGCATTCTGTAGAATGGTGCTCCAGTGGAGTAGGGCGTTCATGACTGCTTTCATCTCCAGCATTAATTACAGAGGCATATCTTTAATGAGTGTTGTTGGCAAAATATTTACAACTGTTTTAAACAACAGAATCTCAAACTGGTCAAATCTAAGAAACTTAATTCCTGAATGTCAGGCGGCTGTAAGAAAAGATTTTTTCAACTACTGACCATATCTTTACATTATATGCAATAATACAAAAGTGTCTATCACGTAATAAACACAAACTTTATGTTGCATTTGTTGACTTTAAGAAAGCTTTTGACTCTGTGGATCGTTGTAAATTATGGCACTGCTTACGAAAGTCTGGTTTCGGGAAGAAAATGTATTCTATTTTAAAATCTATGTACTTGAATATTAAATCATGTGTTCGTTGTGGTGATGATTTCACTGATTTTTTCGACTGTCCCATGGGAGTTCGGCAAGGGTGTATTTTAAGCCCTGTATTGTTTTCCTCCTTTATAAGCGAACTGTATTATGATATTTCCAACGAAGGTAAACATGGTGTGCAAATGTTTCCAGACATGACTGAAATTTTTATCCTCCTTTTTGCCGATGATGTAATTTTAGTGTCAGATACTATCGTCGGTCTACAAAACCAACTGAATATTTTGGAACATTATACAAATGAATGGAAATTATTTGTTAATTTTGAAAAAAACAAACATGGTTATCTTTAGAAGAGGTGGGCCTGTCGCCTCTCAAGAAAAATGTTTTTTGAGTTGCAAAAATGTATCTATTGTTAATCAGTATACCTATCTCGGCTATTGTTTTCCTATACCATGAACTTTAAAAAGAGTGTTATAGACCTGAAATCACGTGCTAAGAAGGCTCTCATTAATGTTATGTAAGTTTCCCAGAATTTTGGAATTTTAACCCCGAAAATATATTTTAAATTGTTTGATGCACAAATCCAACCGATTATGCTTTATGGGTCTGAAATTTCGGGATTTCAACGTCACGAATGTCTAGAGAAACTACACCTTTTAGCATGTAAAAGGTTTTTAAATGTAGCGCTTTGTTACGCTTAATAACATCAGATATACAGACAGAACTACCTGGTGTGACACACATGATTCCACCCATACTATGAAATGTGCCATATCCATCCACTATGCGAAAATCTGCATTGTCAAAGACAAATTGCAAGAAGACATTTTTACCAATCTCATGATCCGCAGCTATTGCAGAATGTTAATAGGAAATAACCTCATTATATGACAAACACACTCCCAAGGCTGACATAGCATCCAGCTAAAAGATGCTTAGATCCAATTTGTCGGTAAATATACAGGGCTAAACCATAGAAAGAAATTATATTTCTCTTGTTGCTGAGAGTATTTGGTGCCTTTCTTTGCTTTGTAGCAACATCACCTTTCTTATCTTTGTAATCCTTTCGACAAAAACACTGAGTATTAGGCACATTCATCATGTGATTATAAAAATCAGCAGGAGTGTAATGGTCAGTATCACAAAGCATTGACCTGATGTCCTCCCGTATGATTCTTCTTCAGGGTCCCCCAACTTCTGAGAATACCATGCATCTTGTGGCCTGTATTTTTAATGCAAAATAGCGGTTTCCTTCCACGAATGCCAGAAATGATAACACCATCACCAAAGTGATCTAGCAATTTTGATCTCAGGATTTTTTTCACTACATTCAATCTCACCATCAGCATGAAATTCTCTGTGGGTCACGAGATCCTCTGTTGAATACTGACATTCATCATTTTGTTCCAGAAATTCAAACAAATCATCAAAGGCTCTGCTAAGTTTTTCATCTGCAGGTCTACCCTTCCCTTTGATAGAACGTGGTCTGTTAAAGAATTTCTTATAATCTGTATGGTGATACCATCAAATCAAATTGGTCCATCAAACTAGAAACTTTGTAAAACTGTTACTGCATTTGCTTCAGTGAATGGCCTCCAGAGGCCTTCTCAAATCATTTGGAAGAGATAGCCATGCATTCCAACCAAGTAAGCTACACAGAATGGAAGCTGTTCAACTTAATTGCTGAATGTTCGTGTTAAAATGACCCGTGAAGATCCGGGGTACAATAGGTCTTCAGCAACCCATGTGCTTGCCATAACAAGGCGACTATCTTGTCGTAAGAGGCGACTAACGGGATCGGGTGGTCAGTTTCGCTGACTTGGTTGACAAATGTCATCGGTTCCGTATTGCGCAGATCGATGCTCATGCTGTTGATCACTGGATTGTCTGGTCCAGACTCGATTATTTACAGACCGCCGCCATATAGCTGGAATATTGCTGAGTGCGGCGTAAAACTTAACTCACTCACTCACTCGTGTTAAAATATTCGCTGACAAAAAGTCAAACACTTGATCAAAGCTATGCATCTTAGGACCCCTTAAGTGGAAGATGATACCTGATGAGCAATTATGGAAGAAAAGAGCAAGTGGTAGTTTACCGCCTCAGGGAATCGTTTAAGCCATTCGTGGATTTTTGCGAAATAATTGTTGGTTATGTATCAGTGCTTTTATAATTGTCAATTTTCAATGGAAATGAAATTATAAGTATAGATATTATATTAAAACGTTCAGATAATGTTCAGCTTGCCATGAAAGTATTAACATGTATACTTATCAGTATCTTTGATGAATATTATTGTGATAAGACGCATGCATACTGGTTATTACAAAGCGAGGGGATAGGAGTTGGGGGCAACACAGTTTTCTGGCTGGTATGCAGATAAATGTAATTAAACAGTTTAAATGTTTACATGAAATGTGTTATTAATATGTCTTCCAACTATTTGGTATCATTGGATAGATAAATTATAGGGAAATCAATTTATTCATGTCTGCATAAGACCAATTAAACTTCACGTCAAAAGGTTTCAGGCCAAAATTCAGACCCGGGGTCACAATTTCCTAGAAATCTATTTTTAGAACCAAAGAGGATGTGCACATGAGGCAAGTAATTATTTTCTACTTTTTAAAGTACGAGCACTACAGTCCATTATATCTGTCAAATTGGATGAGATTATATTCACAAATAAAGATTTTATGAGCATTTCTGTTTTTAAAATAGGATTTTCTTTGAAGAAATTTTTTGTGTAGGGTAAGCATGTTTGCACGTGCACTGTGGATTTAGCTCAAGTGGGATTTTAGGGGATTTTTGTATGTTATGCAGGAAGATCCATAAAATATATATGCCAAGTTTCGTTTCTTCGTCATTGTTTTTCGATCCTTGCCAAAAATTGGCTAATTTGACTGGCCTATCGGTGCAGTTGCGCAAACAATGGAAACCGTGGACGTTTTTCGTTTGCATCAAATCAACGAAATCAAACAACATCTCGAAAACGAGCGGGATACACGAATCGGATTGCGAAAAAAAACCCCACAGAGTCGTCAATGCTATCGATGACGTGGACACATATGCATAAGTTTCGGTGGGTCCGGGGTCGACTTATTGCCCATGATCAACTCGACCCCGATCGTGCTTGGCATAGAAATAGCAGCGGGAGCCTTGGGATTGGCGGGAATTGCGCTCAAATGTGTTTCACGTCAATTGTAAAGAAAAGCATTAAAACACAACAGCATTCGCGTTCTGGCTGAATCAAATTGAATACGACTGAGGATCATATCTCAATAGCGATCTCCGATAGTAAGATATCCTCCACCCCTATGGATATGTAACAACTTGAGTGGTGCTGGTTTTCTGTTGCTGTGATACATTTAATGTTCAAACATAAAGTTTGAATGGGTTTTTGTCTGCAGAACTTCAAATGGAAAGAGCACCGTCATCAACGCCATGTTGCGAGACGAGATTATGCCGAGCGAGGTTGGCCATACCACTCACTGCTTCATCCAGGTGGAAGGGTCGGACTCAAGAGAAGCCTGTCTTCTCACTGAGGAATCCGACCAACCCAAGAACCTCGAGGTAACACACTTTACAATTCTCAGCATGGTGGGCCGTAGGGAATACCATTATTACATACAAGGAAGAATTGTGAACAGATGTATTCCTAAAATGTTTTTGTCACTTTGGTTTGTAAATTGCAGGCGTTCATTGATAACAAGGGCAACCTGTACATGGATAGAAATGTGTTTCTACAGAATACCTTAGGTTATATACTCCTCAGGAAATGAATGCAAGAAAGGAATTGATGCAGAGTAATCTTTAGCAGCGAGAGCTTATGCTGTCACCGTATATGTAATTTGTTCTGTACAAAGACTCAGTGATTCATCCTCCTCATGACACATTACCTGTGGGAGGTTCCGGGCCGTTTCACCCCAAGTCGCTTCACCCGGGTTGGGTCATCTAGATTCCGACTGGGTCAATTCATCCCACATTAGGGGTCATTTCACCCCTAATCAAGAGTTGTTTCATCCAACTAATTGGGTACACATGGAGAATGGTATTAATGCTTAAAGCTGTTAATCCTAATTAGGCAATGTTTTTACAACAAACAGGTAAATGCTACTGTCCCTGTGTTGAGATGGCACGTCGGACTTAAGCTTATATCTCTTCTCATCTCATCTCATCTCATCTCATCACGCTTAAAACTTGAATGAACATTTAAATAAGTTGACATGGAGTTTTGTGTCATGGCGACTGCATGTTTGGAGATCTGCCTCAGCTGCAGGAAGAGAGTAAGACCGCGTCAAGATGGACTGCAGTGTGAAACTTATCGCCATCAACACAGAATATGTGGCACAGGTAATACTTAGTCATGACAACTGTTTGATAAGAATGTTAGTAATCCAACACAGCCAATATGAACTGATATAACCAGCAGTTGTCACTGGGGTGACATAATCCCCAGCCGCAAATTATCACATCAAACTTAGAGAGTAATGAAAGTGAAGGTCGTAGGTTAAGATGAAGTTAAATGTCAACAAAAACATGACCAGTCAACCTCTCAGGATATCTTGCTCTGCTCTGTAGCCGTGTTCAAAAACACAATTATTTTTAATACTGACTTTGACCTAGTCATGAATGTCATGGTTTATGAAATATGCAAAAATGGTAAAAGAGAAATTGCCTATCAAAAAACATTCACGAGAAGTCATGAAAGTCTACAAAGAAGAAAATCCAGTGAACCGTGTATCTTGCTGACAATCTTAACATACTGTAATCTTCAAAGTGTCGCTGTGACCTTGAAATTTGTGTGAAGGTCATGAAGCCTGGTGTCAAATATGATGAAGATCCAGTGAACGGTTCTTGAGATATCTTGCTGACAAGCTTAACATTCAGGCTAACATGCTGAAATCTTCAAAGTGTCATCGTGACCTTAAACAGTATGGGAAGGTCACTAAAATTAACTGGACCCTGCGCCTTCCCTACATGAATTTTAGTGTCCAGCATGAAGAAAATCCAGTGAACTGTTCTTGATATATCTTGCTGACAAGAGTAAGACGTTAAAGTCCCCTTGTGACCTTGAAATGAAGGTCAAGGTCACCAAACCTGCCCGGGACCTTTCAGATGATGTGATGAACCTAGGTACCAAGTATGAAAAGAATCCAGGCGATGGTTCTTAAGATATTCCAACTCGTACGTACGTACGGACGGACAGAGCCTAATACTATATCCCCCGCTTCGGCGGGGGATAATCATTCAAACAATCTGAATATGCTGTTTTGACACTATACATAGATTAATAAAATATTGAAACAAAAGCCATCAGAAGATTACAAATTCCCCTGGCCCCCATAAATTTGAAAGAACAAATGAACTGACAGTTACTTTAGGTCCAACTTGATTTTTTGGACTAAGTCCAAATCGCTTCCATGGAAACCAAGAAAAATAAAAATGACAAAAACTTGCACATAGCATAAGGCTTCACTTTAGGTTCTTTGATATATCTAATAAGCCTTGCAGAAAGATATTGAATGGTTTCCGAGTTGTGCTCGGGAAACGAAGCTCACCCCTCTCTTTTGAGACTATCAGAAACATTTCCATGGAAACCAAGAAAATTAAAAATGCCAAAAATCTGCAAATAGCAAAAGGCACCACTTGGGATCTACCTCACATATTTGCCAAGTTTCGCTGAAAGATATTAAGAAGTTTTCGAGTTGTGTATACGGGAGTGATGACTTCCCCACAATTCTCAAAACAATCAACCCTGGTGATGATCCACCTTCGTCAAGAAGAAACTTCGCGAGGGCTGATTGGTCATTATATGAGGCTCTGTGTGTTGAACACTGTAAACATAACGTATTTGCGAACAGCGAAGATCTTTACAATTGTTTTCTGATATCCTCAATGGCATTGCTGAACAAACGATACCCAAATCCTCTGCAATTCCACATACAGTCAAATCCCGATGAGTCGAATCTCTGGGGACCAAGTAATAAATTCGACTTATCGATGTATTCGAGACATAGGTATGTCTATGAGGGTAGAAAAAAAATGATGACAACTATAACAGGGAATGGTCGGGACCGACAGGTACTTCGAGTTATGCATAATATTCGAGACACCGGCATTCGACTCATCGGGATTTGACTGTATTTGTAAACCATGGTCTAATAATGACTGTAAACAGGCCAGATAGTACAGGAAGAAAGCGGAAAAATATTTTCGCAAACATCCTACTGTCCATACATTTGATAAAGTTAAAATTTTAAATGCCAAGGCACTTTTAAACAGAATAAGTGTTAGTCTTGGAGGAACTATGTTTCCAAAATAAATTCTGTACAAAGTACACCTATGTCAAAGGTGTGGAATATGATATAAAAGAATTAAGGGCAAAGGTTCCAAATCTACTATCCATCATCTGAAGGATGGTGATAATTTATTAACTGATAAGTCTGATATTACCAATAACATTGGTGAAACTCTCGCCAAACATTCTTCTTCGTCAAATTACGTCCCAGAATTTCAACCATACCAGAAACAACAGGAGTAGAAGAGAATAAATTTTAACTCACACAATGACGAAGACTATAATGAATTATTTTCATTACATGAGCTACCCACTGCCCTTGAGCAAACTCATGATACAGCAACAGGAGCTGATAAAATACACTATCAGCCATTGAAGCATTTACCGGAATCATGTTTGGAAACACTTCTACATATTTTTGATTCAATATAGACTTCAGGGAAATTCCCAACTTCATGGCGCAATGCCATTGTAGTCCCCATTCCAAAACCTAGCCGTGACCATACTGATCCGTCTAATTATAGACCAATCACTTTAACAAGTTATGTCTGTAAAACCATGGAGCGAATGGTAAACAATAGATTAACTTGGTGTCTTGAAACCAATAACCTTATAACAACATTCAATGTGTTTTCAGGAAAATTCGCAATAACACTGATCATGGTACGTTTGGAATCCTTTGTTAAAATGCAATAGTAAATAAACAACATGCACTATCGATATTCTTTGATCTCGAGAAAGCATACGATGCCACCTGGAAGCATGGCATTTTAAAGGATTTACATGATTTTGGTTTAATGGATCGTTTACCTATTTTCATATCACAGTTTTTAACAGACAGGCAATTTCAAGTCCGATTGGGTTCTACCCTGTCTGACCATTATAATCAGGATCAGGGTGTCTTACAAGGCAGTATTTTGTCTGTAACATTATTTAGCATAAAGATCAACAGTTTATCCAATGTATTAAACGATTCAATTGATGGATCACTTTGTGTGGATGATTTTAATATTTCATGTCGTGGCAAAAATATGCATACTATTGAAAGGCAAATGCTGTTGTGTTTAAACAAGATAAATAAATGGTGTCTTTTGAAAACGGCTTTAAATTTTCCAAGTCCAAAACTAATTGTGTACAATTTTGTAGAAAATATAAACCGCATAAAGACCCTGAAGTGTTTCTAAATGGCACTCCCATCAAAGTTGTCACGGAGACCAAGATCTTGGGTTTAATTTTTGACTCCCATTTAACGTTTCTGCTGCATATCTCCAATTCTAAGTGGGGAGGGGATCAAGCTACCCTCCTGCACCTATACCGATCATTAGTCTGTTCCAAACTTGATTATGGCTCCATTGCAAATGGTGGAGCTTATAAGAGCAACCTAAAAATATTAGATTCAATTCATCACCAAGGTCTAAGACTTTGTCTTGGATCCTTTAGAACTCTTCCTGTTGACAGTTTCTACGTCGAGGCCGATGAGTCATCTCTTAACCATCGCCGTATAAAATTATCTTTACAGTATGTAACAAAACTATATTCATATATGTCAAATCCTGCATTTAATTGTGTTTTCAATCCTTTTTATGAGGACCTGTACAACAAAAAGTCTTCTCTTGTTCCACCTCTTGGATTACGAGTCAAAACTTTCATTTCTGCCGGCATTGAGCTTGAAAATATATCTCCTTCCTGCCTTCTTTCTTCTCCTCCTTGGCAATTGGTGAGGGGGCAGATCCAGACAGACAGCGGAAAGTGAGGCACAGAAGTTTGAATTGAATCCTATAGTGAATTGGCAGCCAGTGTAAAGACTTTATAAGTTTCAGAGCGTCATGAGATTTACGTGACTGGGTCACTATGCGTGCAGCAGCGTTTTGCACGCGCTGAAGTTTCCTTATCTGTGACTTAGTGGCACCAGCGAGAAGAGAGTTACAGTCATCGATCCTGCTCGTGACTAGAGACAGGACAAGAGTGGTGGCAGATTCGGTGGTGAGATATGGTCGGATGTGTCCGATAGTGCGCAATTGAGCAAAGCAGCTCTGAACTAGATGGGAAATGTGATCATCCAGTAACACATCTGAGTCGATAATCACACCAAGGTTTTTGACCTTGTCAGCGATTTTGATGTTTGTATTATCAAACTTAAAAAATGTAAGACCACACTGTGATCTCCTTTTCTGTGGCCCTAGGACAATGCATTCCGTCTTGTCACTATTCAATTTTAGTTTGTTGTAATACATCCACGTCTTGATATCTTCACAACAAGTGCTCAATTCAC